GTCACGAATGCGAACACACTAACTACAGATCCTGATGTTTATTAAGCGAAACATTTTTCAAAAGAGAGACATTCGTGTGTATAATCTCTACCGACTCGAAAGTGTTCTTATAGTAGGGTTAGTATAATTATACAATTTGGTTCGGTCTTACTTGTTTTCTTCCTCTTTCCTGATCCTTTTAGTCCTGTTCCTGAACTCCCTGATCCTTATCCTCTTCCCTCGTCGTCCTACGTTGTGCACGTGACCTCCTGCAAGTGTACTTGCCGACGAAATTCATACGTGTGATACTTGGAACTTGACTACTTGGCTACCTTGGCAACGGGGCGTTACTCGAATGGCGAATGGCGAGCTCAACGCTTGGTTTTTCACCTGGCGGAAAATATGCGAAACCGCTTGTGGTGAATAAAGCGATGCGAAGGACGGTTGGGATACCCGGACCACGTGGATGATTCCCGTCAATCAGAGTGCGGGGTTAGGACTCGCTATGTTGTATGCCTCATCGGCCGAAGACACCAGTTCTATGTGGCTGACGATTAGTACGGACCCCGTGGCGTCCTAGGGGTGCACCTTCACTCGAAGGAAGTTCTGACCACCGTACACACAAGGTACAATACTGTACGGAATCACCTCTAAGGCACGCTCAACTAGGTATTAGCACTGAAAGTCGTTCTTTAAAAAATCCAGCATTACGTGCAATAGCACGGTAATAATCTGGCACTCACTATGTCGCACAATTCGACTACTATTGGCTTGCACTAGAGTTTGCTTAGCCTACCGAACTTTTCGATCTTGACTTTTCAGCGGTCTAGGCTTGAGAGATCGCCTATTGCAAAACTCATGGGCCTTTACCCCGAATATTCCGACGATTCACGAGATCGATATTCTTCGTCGTTTTTTGTGTGTATCCGTTTTCAAATGCACAGATTAGATCTCAATTAAACCTCTACTGTGGAATCGCAATAAGAAGGGATCAGACACGTGGAACGCAAGTTTGCTACACGGAGAAAGTTTTACATGCATTTAATTATTTTTATCCCCTGCTGATTTTGTTGTTGTTTGTGTACTGGTAACATCGTTACAAGTTCTCAAATCTTTTCAGAAATTCTCGGTACTCTCCTAGAATTGCCTTGAAATTACTGAAACTATCCTAAAGACCTCTAAACTTCCCAACGTTTTTTGAAGTATCTGAATATTTTTTAAAGTTACTTGATGTTGTCCGGACTTTCTTTATTTTGACGTAGGATTACGTCTTTCGGCAACATATTGGGGGTGCAATTTCAAAAAACCAAAATCAACCGCGTTACGAAAAGTGGTCAAGTTTTGAGGATGAAATTTAATTCTAAACAAGTCAATCGATTGGAAATTTAACTACAATTCTGCTAAAATAAACACTATATCAATTTTCAATAAGTCAGTATTGATAATTACACAAATGTCCAACTGTTTCAATAATGATCAAAATTACCACCGATTGTCTGCAAAAAGCGCTTTCCCTAACACAGATTTCAAAATCGAATTCCATCCGGTCTTGCCATACGGTGTTTATTCAATCACCGCGTGTAGTCGTCATCAGCAGCAGCAGCAGTGCTTTTGGCGCGTGGCGTTGAACATTTTTCTCCAGTACACAATTAGAACTTCTGCCCACTTGAGTGTCCATTCACCAAAAAAGGAGGAAGAAGCCGCACCGCTACTGATCGGATTCAGTTGCTCGTCGTGAGCCGCTGTGGGTCTTCTATGCCAAGCACGTCACCCCGTTCCAAAAAACATACGGCTCGCCAGAAATCCTCCAATCAATTTTCGTTTTTTTCGTGCGTTTTGTGTAATTTTGTCATCACAAGACGAGGCGTTTCCGTGATGGGAATACGCCGAATATTGATACCGAGCGTACGTCAAATCTACGGTCGTGTCTTGGATACAACCTTTTACCTTTTTATGAACTTCTAGAAGGTTCGATTTCCCACAATTTAATTGAACTGCTCAGGGGGCGGGACACCTTGGCTGAATATATATAAATATTTTATAATATTTTGTTTTTCTTGACGTACACTTAGGGTTACCATATGGTATCCTAAAGGAGGACATGTCCTCGTTTTTAAATATTTTTTTTTCTTCATCCCCCTTTTGCCCGAAAATGTCCTCCTTTTTAATTCTTGCATTTTTTTCAGTAACAAACTCATAAAACTGTTTTCAAAGAGCGTTGTTTGTAGAGCTTATTTGTTTAATTATGTCGCAAGCTCAACTTATCTAGCAAATGCCATTCAATGATGAGACTAGGAGTACATATATTATAGCTGTCAACCCCATTACATTTAGGCTGCGGTTCATTTGGTGAATTTTAACTTATATTTGACAGATGGAAAATTTTCAAATCCCGTGTGATTTTCGAGGTGTTTGTCAAAATGGATTCCTGGTCTGCCAGAAATAAGTCTGGTACAAAAGCAGGATTATTTGAAAATTTTCTGTGTCAAATTTATGTTAAAATTCACCAAATGGAGCACAGCCACACAGACTGAATCCAACATGTGTTCGATTTTGACGTTCTGGTTCTATGGGATTTTAGGTATTTTTGTTTGGGTCTCTGCTATACTGAGAGCGACGAGGCACGCGAAGTGTGAAATCGAATGTCAGGAATAATATCAATAATAGGAATTCTTTTGAATAGAACGCTAAGCGCGCATCTTCTACTATGAGTACTATGTTGAATCAATGGTAAAATCAACAGGTTGCTTAGATGATGCATGTTGGTTTCAATGGTACATGATAAAAGTTGGGATGGTTTTAAAGTTGTAAAGCTGTAGTTTTCATGCAAAGCAGCTAGAGTAGATCATTTCCAAGTATCATAAATGAATTATGAAGGCTAGTTTGATGCATTACTCAGAAGTATAACGAGAAGATGAATTGAATTGGTAACGACCACAAGTTACGAACAATGTCAATTGAACCTTTGCAAATCATGAATTTTGTGATAGCGCACATATTATTAAAACGTTCGATAACAACTCATTGTCCTCCTTTAATGTTAAGAAGAGGAATCACTGTCCTCCTTAATCTCCAAACCTCAAATGAAATGTCCTCCTTTTCAAGTTTTCGATATGGTAACCCTACTTACACTTGACTCGTACAACAAACATTGGTCAGCACAAATAGCTCTTTGTTGAATTCTTTTTTTTCAGAAGTGGAAACCATGTAAGGTTTACGTGAAACGCACATTGAAATTGTCTATGTGGAAATCACGTAAATTTCATTGGATGCGTTAGTGTGGTCAACAGAAATTTCCTCTAATATTCAAGTGGTATCACATATATGCTACGTGAGTCACGTAAAACTGATAGAATACACACTTAGAAATTCCTAATTTTACACGTGACGGAATCCATCTTTGACATAAAGGATGAGACGTAAACAAACATGTCATGTAAAATTAAGTGCTCCGAGACTGAAAAGTTCATTACTCGAAGAAAAGTACGTTTGATTGAGCTGAATTTCGCGTCTATTATGAGGTAATTTTGTGTCAAAATTGACGCTCGTATATGTCAGTTTCAGCGCATCTGAATTTACATCAATTTTTCTAAGTGTGTAGGGAAACGAGATACCTTATGTGATTTTTCACGTAGCTTTAACGTGCCGATTATTTTGAGTGTACACAGAGAAAATAAATTACCCTAATATTAAGTTATTTTTACTTAATTTTGGGTAATTTTGAGTTTTGTATCCCACTCTCACTTTCTGTTGTTCTCAAAAACGGAACGAGAGATTCGATTTTCTCATGACTATTGTTCAACAAGCTACTAGTGAGTATATGAGATATTCTCAAATTTGAATCAATTGAACTTAATTTTGGGTATAAAATACTCACGAGTAACTAATTATTTTTTGCCGTAATAAAATGTAAACTACTATAAGCAGTTTACTGAAAATTAGCTTATTGAACGGAACATGGGAGATGAGTGAAAAGAACTTAATTTTGGGTAATTTTTCGGTTCCGTGTAGTTTCCGTGCATTGCATTTATGGGTTATAACTGGTCTATATTTAACATTTACCCTACTCCCAGCCGACTTCGTCGTTAGAAATACCAAACCAACTCAAAAGACTTCGCTCCACATCCTCCCCCCACAAACCTTGATGACTTCAACAATTTCTCAGCGCCATACAATTATCACCGCACGAGAAAAGCGATCCACAAACGACAAAACACCACACTTACTCCTTCGCGCTAGAATGCAAAATCAAGTCGTTAAAAGAGAGAAAGCTGCCACGGACTAGAATTGCAAATCTTCTTTCATCAACGCAAGGCGACTACCAACTACACCATCATCGCTTTTCAGCCTTAACATCATTTATGTTGGCAAATTGAAATCATATGCATCGCCATCACCATCAACCAAGGCACCGACCGAGAGATGAAAAAGTGCGCTGTTTTAGGTTATGTCTCCACCACCCCCCGCTGTCCCGCCTACTTGAGATGGTTACTACCAGCAGTTACTCAGAAAGTGACTGACGACGACACCGCCTGCTTGTTTTGCATGTTCATTCGGATTTTTTTTTAGATGAACACAGCAAAACGATAGTTTATGATCGCGAGCTGGCGTCCGTCTTCGTCTATCGGAAAATATGTAAACCAAACTGAGGCGAACACAATGAAAGTTCCTTTTACCATTTTTTTTTTTTGTTGTGGGCTGCGGTTGGTCATGAATAAAAGATTTCAATGAAAGGCGTTGTCGCAAAACGGTGCTGCGGTGACGGTGGAGGTGAATAGATTCGGGTTTAACTTGCCCTGTTCTTATATTGTACAATGTGCGTAATGCGAGAAAGGTTAGTGGTTCCATTTTATGATGTTTGATAAGACGGCTTCATTTTCCCATAAAAATAAAACCCAAATCGATGTTAAATCTTAACCTTGCAAATCCTGATTCAAGATGGTTTTCCATTCCAAAATTATACGACCGATTGAGGCATGTCACTTTCAACTAATTTAGCAATTTATGTTCCCCCATTGCAGAGCACCACGAAGACAAGCTGAAGCCTATTCCGCTAGGACGATTTAATCATCTCGCACAAAAGGTGGTGCCGAAAAACTTACAACTGCAAGAAGGCAAATGACTTAATTGGCACACGGCACAATTATGGAGTGCATTTATCGTACTGTGACAATCCTATTACTATTGATTGGCTCGTTACCGAAACCGTAAGTATGAACCGGTGTGACAGATTGGGGTTTTGGAGTTCGTTAACGATGACACATTTCAATGGAATAATTTAATGGCATTTAATGAATACATGCTATGGTAGCAAGTTCAATTGGGAACCACGCCGCTAGAGGCGCTTACATTTTATAAGGGGGCTATATATCTCGAAATCCTGGTCATATATGTAGAATGTTACTATCTTCAGGTAAGTTGTTTAAGTAACCAAGTTCTTTCGAATGGTGGTCTGGTCATGAACTCTCTCACTACGTGACACTAGTTTGCATGCGAACTTCCTGAATATGCTATGTCTGAAAAGCCTGCGATATAGCATGTTGCTGTGAAATGTGAGAATTTTCGAAACAGGGGTTTCGTGTAGAGACCAAAATTCAAAGCTGCACGCCATATTGGAGTCCAGCCATAAGTTTTAGAAACATTGTAAAATACCCTACAATATGGGTTTGTTTGTTTTTTTTTTTTTTTCCTTTATTAGAGAGATTTTTAGCCTAAGGCTAGTTCATCTCTTTTAAAAATTACAAAAAAGAATTGGGACCTCAAAAGGAGGATCCCAATCTTGGCAAGTGGGCATTTAGCTTAATTATATAAAATATTGTAAAAACACTACCAAAAGGGCCAACGAATTCAAAAGCACCAACAGAAAACACTCAAATGTTGTAAAAAAGATTCGCCTCCTTCAGGAAGGCGATGAGGGTGTCTGCTGCCGGGGACTCGTCGCCAAGCAGACTTCGTATGCTGGTTCCCTCCAGACCGAAGGCAACCCGAAGGTCCTCGAGCTCCACACAGTTGATGAGGATGTGTTCTACGGAGGCTGGCACTCCGCAGGTTTCGCAGGTTCTCCGGAACGGTGTTCCTCCGAAATTATGGGAGGCCCTGCTATGCCCGGTGCGCAGCCTGGACACCACTTGCTGCTCCTTGAGGCTCGGTCGATCCTTCCAGGGATCGGTGGTCGCCTTGATTTTTCGTAGTTGGTGAGTTCGATTGTTCCTCCACTCGTTGTCCCACGCTCTCCGAACCGTCTGCTTGATCCATTTCTTGATGTCCTGGAACGGAACATTGTCAGAGAACCTGGGTCCGATGGGGCCTGAGCCGGCGAGGTGGTCGGCGATCACGTTCCCCTGGATGCCACAGTGCCCGGGTACCCACATGTATACGGTGTTGGGCGGCGCATGCGTTACCGTCCCTTGTATCCACGGATGCTTTGGTGCTTCATCGGTTAGGGCCATTATTGCGCTTTGTGAGTCGGTAACGATGAGGATCGGCCGATTGGCCGGAAGGGTGGTTGCGTGAAAGACGGCCGCTGCCTCAGCGGAAAACACCGAGCACTGGGCCGGAAGTGAATTGCTGACGACCAAACTATCTCCTGAAACCCCCATTCCCACTCCGCTGCTGGCGAGCGAGCCATCAGTGTACCTGATTTCGTGATCTTGATAGTGCGCCCCGAGAGTTTCGACGACTGTCCGGCGCAAAGCCAGTGTGTTGTCTCCTGCCCTGAAGCGGTCCTTGATTCGGCTGTCGATTCTGATCTGATGTGATTGCCAACTTTTGTCTCCGTGCCAGTGGACCCTGGCCACTGGAGGGAGATCTACGTCGGCGACCGTGCGGAGGAGTCGGTTCGCCTCGTCGAGGAGAAAGATCCTGCTGTTTCCCGACGTTTTAGCGAGGAAGGCAGCGGCTTTGGTAGCGGTAGCTGCGGTGTAGACGAGCCGAAAAGGCAGAATACCGGCTTCAACGCACGCGGCGTCGGCCGGGGTGGAGGGCAGGAGACCGGAGACTGTTCTTACGTATCAATATGGGTATTTCCGGAACGGGGACGACGTGTAGAGTTCTAAAATCGATGCTGGACGCCATTTCAATACTGTTACGCATTTGACAACAAACGTTTGGTTGCTGGGTACATTATCAAAGAGGCTTGGGGGTAAGGTGGTTAGCAGTAAGGCGAGCGAACGTTCAATGAAAATTAACTCTTAAACAACAATAATGTATGGTGGCCTGAAAAGAAACGTTTTGTCGTGATGGATGAGTAATGCTGAACTATTAGGGCGTTCAACACGGATGATGCTGGCGAGCTGTATGTTGTTTAGAACGAGGGTGACGCGCTTGTCATAGATGGCCCACAGCGGCTCACGACGAGCAACTGAATCCGATCAGTAGCGGTGCGGCTTCTTCCTCCTTCTTCGGTGAATCGAGGGCGCTCTTGAGGGCAGCCTTGATAGCTAGCTGCTTGCGTGGAGCCTTTCGTTGTATAATGGAGAAAAATGTACAACGCCACGCGCCGAAACCACTGCTGCTGCTGATGATGATGATAATGTTGACGACCGGACACCACCACTCACCACACGCGGTGATTGAATAATGGAATTGCAAGACCGGATGGAATTCGATTTTGAAATCTGTGTTAGGGAAAGCGCTTTTCGCAGGCAATCGGTGATAATTTGAATTATCAAAACAACAATTGCACATTCATGCAATTTTCAATAGCCCCTTTTGAAAATTGATAAAGTCATAATTTTCAGATTCGTAGAAAAATTTCCTATCGATTGGCGTATTAACACTTCGAATACGGTGGGTAAAAAACATTACGCTGACTACAAAACCTCCGAAAAACGTGTAACGGTAAATTTTCACTGACATAACTTAGCCATTTCTTGATTAATTTCAAAAATTGTGGTACTTCTACCATTCCTAGTGTCTGTAGATTATTTTGATTGCAAAAATATTGAAAATAGGGTCATCTACTTTTTTTTAAAGCGAAAAGAGTCATAACTAGAATACAGTCATGGTTCCTATGCATGGATATTGGAGACAACAGAACGGTCTTCGAAAGATCCGGAACGGCCATAAAAGTGGTCAATCCATGAACTTGATCCAAGCGCTCCGCGAAAACATTAAGAACTGTGATATAAGAAAGAATTTGGGGTCGTGACATACACAAGGACCCAGATGGGCATCGGACCGTCCTCTGGAAGATCCGGAACATCCGTAAAAGTAGTCAATGACGAAAAAATAACCGCGTAGCTCTAGGATCAGTTTCGTGGATTGTCCACTTTCACGGATGTTCCGGATTTACCGGAGGATGGTCCCATGGCCATCTGGGTCCATGTTTATGTCACGACCTCAAATTATTTCTTATATCACAGTTCCTAAAGTTTTCGGAAAAACCGCGTAGCTCTAGGATCAATTTCATGGATTGACCCTAGGATTGATCTTTTTACGGACGTTCCGGATCTACCAGAGGTCATCCTGAGGGCCATCTGGGTCCATCACAGTTCTTAATGTTTTCGAAAAAAAACCGCGAAGCTCTAGGATCAATTTCATGGATTGACCACTTTTACGGATGTTTTAGATCTTCCCGAGGACGGTCTCATGGCCATCCGAGACGATGTTTATGTCACGACCTCAAATTCTTTCCTTATATCACAATTCCAAGTGTTTTCTAAAAAAAAACGCGAAGCTCTAGGATCAGTTTCATGGATTGACCACTTTTACGGATGTTTCGGATCTTCCGGAGGACCGTTGGTTGCTTCCAGGATCCATATATAGGTACCATGACTATATTCTGGCTAATTGCTATGAAAATGTGACAGATAAAAGGAGGAGTTCGTGGATTTTCCCATGTTTTGAGGGGTGCATCGATTAGCTTGGGACCGAAGAGAGTACCAGAGCTGAGCCAAATAGTTGAGCACGTTTCTTCGGGACCTTCTGGTCTTAGAGTTATCGGTTACCGGATTGAAGTACATCAATTTTGATGTGATATCAAAATTTATGTTTTGCTGTCCGGACACCGCTATATTGGATTTCAAAATGGCGGTGAATGTCGGTTTTTTACTTTGACTGTTATACCAAAGTTTTGATGTTCCGTTTGTTTTGAACTTTTCACGTGCTTCACATTTCACTTCGCTTTGATCTATATAAGGCTTGTACTCGAAAAAAAATGCACAATTTTTATCCGTGTGTAACTTTTTTATCCGTGGGTAAAAATTGATGAAAATCTGGGTATAACTAGTTTGGAGTGAATTGTTTACATGTTCAAAATTGCATAACAATCGGTTCAGTGTTTATTGAGATGTCATCGAAACAAGAAGGAAATCGCCGGAGAATTTTGCGCGCCGTAATGGAAAATCCGACTGCGACTGCGATCTGAAGGCAAAGTGTTCCGCCTGGTTCGTTCAGCAAACCATGAAACGAGCTGAGCTTCGTGTATTCAAAGTCCGGAAGGCACCGAACCGGCGTGATCAACAAAACACTCGTATCACTGAAGCTGTATCGAGAGTGGTTAACGAAACCGATGTGTGTGGTCATGGATGACGAAACCTACATCAAGGCAGACGCAAAACAGATACCGGGGCTGGAGTTCTACGTTGCCAAATCACGGTTTGATGTTCTGGACGCCAAAAAATACTTCCTCTGGCAGGCCATATGCCAATGCGGTAAACTGAGTAAACCGTACATCACAATGGGTACCATCAACAGCGAAATTTACCGCACCGAGTGCCTCCAGAAGCGTCTGTTGCCCTTCCTGCGGTCCCACGGAGGCGAGACATTATTTTGGCCGAACCTGGCCTCATGCCATTACGCACGATCGACGTTGGATTGGTACAGAGACAATAACGTTGTTTTTGTACCAAACACCGCCAACCCCCCAAAATTCACCAGAGATTCGTCCGGTGGAAAGATTTTGGGCCATAATGAAGGCCAAAGTTCGAAAATCGTCCAAGGTCGGCTCCACCATTGCACAAAATGTAATGAGGGGTCTTAAGAGAAAGGTGCGGGCTTTCAGCGATGGAATGAAATTGAATAAAATAATTGTGCCGAAACATAATCCATATGTATAAGTTCATTCCCTGAAATTTTCAAGAAAATCCGACTTAAAATAAATTTTTGACGAACACTTTTGCCTGGTGCATTTTTTCGAGTACAGGCCTTACTAGGCCGGGAGTCTGCTGTTGAAAGCAAGTGAAACCTCGTGTATACTGTGTATCTT